TCCTGCTTTTCTTCCAGAAAAGGATGATGGCTCAGAGCTTGGGCAGTTTCAGAAAGAAGTTGAAGCCTTGCCCCCAGAGCTGAGACACTACATCCAGGAGGATAACTGGCGCCTCGAGCAGGAGGCAGAGGAATGGGAGGAGGAGCAGTCTTGCAAGATTCCTCAGATGGAGCCTTCACCTGCTTCCGAATCACAGGACCTCTCTTCTGAATCAGGACCAGGTAATACCACAGCTGAATTTGCAAACTGAGTTGAAACTGGTAACAACAAGCTGGTTAAAACTTCCACTGTGCTGGAGCCTTGCCTCAGTTTTGAGGTATCTAGGAGAAACTTGTGAAGTAGCAAAGGCACCTGGTGGGGGCTCTCACCTGGCAATCCTAAAGGTTGCTCCTCCTTCCAGGCTTGTCACCAGAAATGCTGGTTCCATTCATTTAATCATAATGGGCTATTCTCATTTCACTTCCACACTTAATTTTTTTTATAAATATCGAGTAGAAAATGTTCAAGTGCTGTTCTCTGGAGCAGGAAAGCACCACTTGGCAATCCCTGGTGGTGCATGCCATTCCCACTGAAAAGGGGTGTGCCCAGGTTGATGTTGAAACACCTTCAACTCTGGGGTGAAGGCAGCAGCTGCTTTATCTGGCCTAGACAAGCTACAAAGCCTTTTAGAATGAGAGGAGATCTTGCAGTTGGTGGTCAGAAGTGCCACCCCTCTGTCCTGACAGATCAGTCCTCAGCCTGTGAGCAGAGCGTGCGCTCCCTGTCCTCCGAGCATGCCAGAATTGCCAAGGAGCAGACTGCCAAGGCCATCGCCAACACTGCCGACGCCTACGAGAAGAACGGCGTGGAGGCAGCTCTGTGCGAGGTAGGAGCACAGCCCTGGCTAGGGAAGCCACTTGGCTTTGGATTACTCTTCCTGACAGACCTTTGCCTTTCTCGTTTCTCTGTAATTCTGTAGCTCAGTCCCCTTTTGTTCTCCTGTATTTTGTGTTGGTTTTCCTTACTCTCTTTTTCTTCTTGGCCACAGCCCAAGGAGGTAGAGCCAGCGAAGGCCCAGCCGAGAGAAACAGCCCTCACAGTTCAGGCAGAGCCACCCCAGGATGCTAAGGAAACAGAGTCTGCTGCCCAAGCTAGCTCTCAGGTCTCTGAAGTGGAAATTCCCAGTGTGGGGAAGATTCCCGTTAGGTCCGATGCAGATGGATATAATGAAGAGGTACAGATCCCAGCACAGGGGTTAATTGCTGCCTGTCATTAACCTGTAACTTTGGAGCTGGATTTGAGCTTTACTGAGACAGGGTGCCACATAAGTCTGTCATGGAAACAGTGCTGTGAACGAGGTACCGTTTCCCACTGTGGACACGAAGAAGGCCAGACCAAATTGTTCACTCATTTAGTTTCTGAATGCCATCAGAAAGCAGAGCAGTAAAAGCGCTTGATCGTTAGATCTGCTGCTTGTTCCTTTAAGTCTTCTTTCTGGCACAACTATATCAAAATTGGTCCTGACTGTATTAATTTATTTACAAGCCTCTTTACTGTCTTCAGTGACCGTTTTGTCCCCACTCAGATGTTAACCTCTAATAGCATAACTTCCAGTACCCTGGTTGTTGACTTTCTGAGTCTGACTGTTTCACTGCACTCGTACATAATCAAGCAGCCTTTTGGAAGTTCAGTCTTCTTTCTCAGTGCAGTTGGATTTGACACAAACACTGAGACCATTACTCCTTGGGTATGTTTAAGATGTGCTTGTATAAAGTTAGCACCAGGAGCTGCTCCACCATAGGCATGGCTCCCTTATTTATATGCCTTAAGATTGCATGGGAGACAGAGGGGATGTGGCTAGTGTGCTTTACATTCTCACTTGTTGAATTTACAAATTCAAAGCTTGACCAGCCTTTAGACCTTTAATGTTTAAAAAAAACCCTGCATGTAAAGTGCATGTGATAAATGGAGTGAGTAGCATACAAGCAAATCCCTGCTCTGGCTTGTTCCTCCTGTATTCACACATTTCCTTTAAACCTTCTCTTTTGCAAGTTTTTCTTCACCATGCCTTCTCTTCTCTCCCTGTGTCTGTCACTGTTTTCCTCGTTCTTGTCTGTGTTTGTTTTCCTGCTTCCATGGTAGGTGATGCTGAGTCCAGCCATGCAAGGTGTCATCCTGGCTATTGCAAAAGCCCGCCAGACCTTTGATCGTGATGGGTCTGAAGCAGGGCTTGTGAAGGTATCACATTTGTTTGCTCAGTCCAATAGTTGGGATGTCTCTTTCCACAACACAAAGGATCTTTGCTATACTGACATATCAAGAATGTGAAGGGAACAATTTATTTTAGTTCATGGCCCTTCTGTCCTGCAGTTCTGGTTCTGCTCTCTTATTGGGCAACATATCCTTCAGTTCAAAACAATTTTTAGAGCTTGTAAGAATTCCCTCCTCCCAGGAGAAACAACAACATTATTTTTACTTTCTGCTCTTTATTCTGCTTCTTCATTTATTACTGATAGTTCTCTCAATCTGGATTATAAAAAGTAGACTTTCTTAGCATGTCTTCTTTCAGAATCTGTTGTCTTAAGTCCTTAGTGTGATCATCAGAAAATAAACCAGCACTCATGACAATTTTTTTTCAGTCCTGAACGTGCAGGCTTACTGTGACCTCACTTGTAAAATGTGTCCTCAGGACATGTATGCATTGAACAGAGGGATTTGAAAGAAAAAGCAATTGCTGAGTGTTGAAGCTGGTGTTAGATTTTACAGGCAGGTAGATTTAACTGAAAGTGCTGCATGGGAGAAATCACCCATGCTGTTAATCTACAGGAGTATAAATCATGAGATAATCTTGCACCTTTCTACAGATAAAAGCATATTGCAGTTGTCACAACCTCAGCACTTGCATGAGGATTACCAAAACTGTCAGGCATCTCTGTGCCCCCCTTGCTGAAGGGCACTGAGACTCCCTGGTGCTCCTGAAGAAGCTTTGCTGTGGGTGTTCACGGTGTTTGTGGACTTCCCTTCACCACTAGAACAGAACCAGGAGGTGAAGGGTGGGTGCTGCCCACATGAGTCCCATCATTACAGCACAGGTTCAAGCTTCCTATCAGCTGCTGTGGTGTTGGTAGACCTGTTAGGATGTGTGTTCTGTTGGCAGGCGTTCCATGAAGAGTATTCCCGGCTCTACCTGCTGGCCAAAGAGACCCCGACCCCGCAGAATGATGCCCGGCTGCAGCACGTGCTCATCTACTTCCTGCAGAACAACGCTCCCCAGCAGGTGGTGGAACGGACCCTTCTGGAGCAGTTTGCAGACAAGAACCTCAGCTATGATGAAAGGTTTGTGCTGCCGATTGCAGGATGAGGCTTTTCTCGTCTGGCAGCAGCTGGGGCCATTGTTCTGATCATCTCTATTTCTGCTTACATGGAGCAGGTCCATCAGCATAATGAAGGTAGCACGAGCAAAGCTGAGAGAGATTGGTCCTGATGACGTCGATATGGGGGAGTACAAGGTGAGGGACCAGTACCCACCTTGGATCCTTGGTGCATCAGCAGCATGTGCAGCTCCCTCCCTGTGGGAAGTGCAGGTCTGCAGAAGGATGCTGAGAGGGCATCTCCTGAGCTTTGAGGAGTGTCTGTACAGTTGACTTCAGTTGACTTCATGTGTCACTTGTGAGAGGAGTTTAAACCCTTTGCAGGGCAAAACCTGATGATGGGCTTTTGGGTGGTGGGGACTGAGAAGCACACGAGTCACAGGTGAGCCTGACCCTCTGCTCCCCTCCTCCTCCCACACAGAGGTGGCACGAAGACTACAGCCTTTTCCGCAAGGTGTCAGTTTACCTGCTGACAGGGTTGGAGCTGTACCAGAATGGAAAGTAAGTTGTTTTTAATTGTGATTGGACAAGATAATCTGTAGCCTACGAGTAAAGGCCACTTTGGCAGAATTACTACTTTCTGGCCCATGGTGGCCAGTTTGCATTCCGTCTTGAACTTGTTAATAGCCCTTTTTTACATAAATAGAGCCATGTGGAGAAGGACAGTGCTGTTTTATGAAGGACTTGTCATTTGAAAAGTGATTTTCCCAATCCAGAAAATAAACTGTCTTCCAGACATTGCTCGAAAATGGAAACAGAATTGCATTCTATGGTGGTTGGCAGTGATAAGCCACCAAACTCAGGTGGGCACATTGACAGGCTGAACAGAGGGTGTTGGAGCTTCCCTGGATTGACCTCATCTGTGTCAGCTGCTCTGTTTTGTCACGGGGCATTTATAAGCTAGAAACATGTCAAGGAACTGAAAACATCACCTCTGCACTTATTTGAGCGCTGTCTTAAGTGCAAAGTTCCCAGAGGCATGTAAGAAAAGGCCAATGCTGTTGTTCACGCCTCAGGCCGAGCCATACAGAGACCTGGCCTTAAAGGGCTCTCCCCAAACGCCCTTTTGGCACATGGGGCAGAAGGAGTCGTGATGATTTGGTGCATCTGTGTATTTGTGCTTTGGCAGGGAGCCTGTTGAGCCTGATGCTAGTTACTGTCCAGGCCAAATGGAGGTTATTTCCTGAGCTGGTGGGCCTGCCTGTGCTGCCATTGTCTGCAGACAAACTGCAGAGCTGTCACTCTTCTAGGTACCAGGAGTCGCTCACCTATCTGGTCTACGCCTACCAAAGCAACACCAAGCTGCTGCTGAAAGGAGCCAACCGAGGAGTTAACGAGTCACTGATTGCCTTGTACAGGAGGAAGTGTCTCCTGGTTGGTACTGAGGAGCTCTAGGCTCCTTCTCAAAGAGGGGAGGAAGCAGCCTGGGTGACAGGCTGGTTATCTGAGGTCCCCATTCACTTCTTACATCCTGTCCCCTGGTTCTCCCTCCTCCCCTAGAAGCTGAACGAGGTGGCAGCATCTCTGTTTGTAAGCTGTGAAGAAGCTCGTGTGGCAGAGGGCATTAGCATCTTGAATGAGCTGATCATCCCCTGCATGCACCTCATGAACAACTTTAAGATCACCAAAGAGGACCTGGATGCCATTGAGGTCATGAGGAACCGCTGGTGCTCCTATTTGGGTCGAGAGGACATGGACGGTAGGAACAGCTGCCTTTGTCATGATGTTTGTGGGCAGGGCAGTGTCTAGATCTAAACTAGAAGGGAATTAGAGGACCCTGTGAAGCACTTCCTTAAATTCCTGGTGCTTGCACTGCAGAACATTGGGGTGTTTCTGATTGCTAGAGGAGATGTGTTTGAATCATATGTTGAATTCTGTCAGAGTAAAACTTCTTTTGGACTAAAGCTGCAGAGGAAGGATTCCTCTTCCCTGAAATGTGAAAAGCTAATCTCAAAAAGACTGGCTTAGTGTTATCCAGCTGGGCTTTGGCTTTGATTTTTCTTAGGTGGGGTGAGCTCTGGAAATCATGGTTGCATGACTGTGTTCCTCTTCAGGGGTGAGGAGCAGATTTTTCAGAGGCCAGGAACAAGGACAGAGTGAATGGGGGAGCAGAGTCAGGGGATCTTTGTGTTCTGAAGAGAAGTTTCTCATTTTATGGCTGAATTTTGGTTCTGGATGGTTGTTCTGATTTTGAATTTCCTTCTGCACTCTGGAGCTCCTCTCGGGTAATTTTTGTTAAGAAAAATTTATTTAAACTCCCCTTGAGCTGTGTATGAAGGTTTGGGTAGTCATTACAGGGTTTTAGTTATTAGCAGAGGAAGTTACTTGCTACAGGAAAACAAGACAAAAGCACAGAGGTTTATTCTCAAAATATTGTAAAGAATAAAAATCAGATACGCAAGTTTCCTGTTCTCAGGCTTGCCACAAGGTAGTTACTCACACAGAGGTTTTAAAGAAACAGAAGCTGGCTGCTTGCCCTCTTCATGTGAGCCCAAGTGTCACCCCTTCCTGCTGGCCTGTCACAGGCTGTAACATTGAGTGACCAGCGTGGGCTCTGTTGCATTCCAAAGCAATGTCAGGATTTGTGTATCACCTTCAAACCTGTGGTTACACCTGACTGACCAGCCAATACAGCATCTTTTACTGGGACAGCTCTTCACCCTAGTGGGACATGGCACTGTCCCCAGGGCAGCCAGGTTGCAGCAGAGCTTCCCTGTTGACGGGGCCTTGGGTGGGGGTAGGACTTGAGGGCTGCAGGAGACTCAGCTGGTGGCAGGTGTGAGGTCTCTTCTGCCTCAGCAGACACCGCTCATTCCCCCAGCAGGACGTGGGCCGTTTTCCATGCAGTTGGAGGGTTCCTGAAAGGCCCTGCAGCTCCTCAGCTCAGGGCCCTGGAGCCCCCTGCCAGCCGCTCTCAGTCTTGCAGTGCCACTGACTGTTGATCTCTTCCCCTTGACAGCAAAGCTGCAGATGAAGCTGGGCGAATTGCTGCCCCGGCTCCTGGACAGCTCCTCTGGGGTGATCGTGCTGAAGGAGCCCCCCAAGATCCGGCCCAACTCCCCCTACGACCTCTGCAGCCGCTTTGCAGCCGTGATGGAGTCCATCCACGGTGCCTCGGCCGTGACGGTGCAGTAGCCCTTGGGGTCTCCGCTGCCTGGGGCACCTGCCCAGCCTGCTCCTGTCGGGCCTTGTGGGGAAGGGAGAGGGAAGAGAGGGGTGATTTGAATTCAGAGCTGTGTTCTTTGTAAATACACAAATAAAAAGCAGTATTGCACTTTTGAGATGAAACATTCAGCGGTGACGTGCAGGACCTGAACCACTGTTGTAGCCTGATGTGCCAGGTCCCTGGCAGCTCCATCTGCTGGGCATCCCCAGGCCATACCAGCAGGTTTTTTGGTTTTACAATTTTCTAAGGGCAGACCCCTGGGCCTGTGAGGGCAGCAGAGTGGGAGACAACTCCTCTGGTGAGCCAGGCTATGAGCTGCTGTTGATCCATCAGCTGCAGTTACATCCTGCTGCTGGAGATGAGCCCTTCGGTCTCACCAGGCTCCTGCTAGGAGGAATCCAAGTCCTGCCATGAGGAGAGGAGCTTCTGCTCACCCTCTGTCATGTGTGCATCCAAATAAAGCATTTGCCTTTTGCATTTTAACTGGAAAAATACATGCAGGAGTCTTTCTCAGAGAAAGGCAAAAGAGCAGCAGTGACAAGGGACAGGATGGTTGCAGTAGCAGTGGCTCACAGGTGAAGGGAGATCACACTTCCCAAAGGATATTCCCCTCTTGGATCTGAAGGCAAACTCCCTCCTCACTTCTGGTGGGGTTTCAATGCTGAGTTAGTGTCAACGACAACTGCAAGGGCTGGAATCAACTCATTTTTTGTTGGTGGTGAGGCTTTTTTAAATTACTTTCTGTAAAAACTGCCCCATTTGGATTTTCTTTGCAGGCAGCCTGTACATGTGTTTGAGCTGCAGCAGTTGTTACAAACCAAATGTTCTGAGTCGGTGGAGGGGGGATCCTGTTTGTTAGGACTATGCAGATTTCTCTAAAAGTGCAATAAAAGCATTTGTTCTATGTTAGAATGAAAAACTCCCTCTGTGTTTTCATTTTGCTCCGGTGTTCTGCCTTAAGGTTCCTCCTAGCTTCAGTATGAAGAAAGGGAAGTAAAAAAAACACAAAAATTCTATGGGCAAAGTAACTGACATTTCTGCAGCTTGATGAAGCCCCCAGAGAGGCAGAATCGTGTGTGTGCCAATCATGGGTGTCCTGGAAAGACAGCAAAGCCCTTGGGAACTGCTGGGACACGAATTCTGTCTGCTTTAGCAGGAAAACAGGTGAGTTTGGTGACTTGAGTGTCACTGGGCTTGGAGCAGCGTGTCAGAGGGGGCTGGGCAGTCAGGTCCTGAAGAAAGGTCAGTGTTCGTTACCAATGCCAGGAGGTTTCTTTTGAGGCCACTTCCTTGGAGTGGAGAATCTGGAGCCCTTTCCCATTGCAAGCCACTCTGTGTTAACTCCTGGGGTTTGGAAGGAGTCTGCCATTCCCAAGCAAGTGGCAGGAAATAAGCATTCACATTAAAGTAGTTAAGAGGAGGGAAAACTGCTCTCTTCTGGTAGTGAAAATCTCTATTTTTCTTTATTAATCGGGGAATGGAAACATTTAATTACATATTGAGCTGCTAAGAGTACTCTGCATTTTAATGGCACCCTTGTACCTGCTGCTGCTGGCTTGGCTCTGGCAGAACACAGATTTCTTCTCAGCAGCCTTGGAAGAGGGGAGAGAGACACACGGGTGAGGGCTTTTCCCAGGAAATTAGACAGATGTTTCTAGGACTTGCTCCTAGTACAAAGTGTGTTGTAATTAGCTGAGCTATCTTTGAATGGAAATTGTCGGCATGGTCCCACCGCTCTGTCGGCGTGCGCTTCCCTGTTACTTAGGAATAAACAGCTCCAGGGGGAAAATCTTGCATTCTCCCAGTTATTTTACTATAAAGTGGAAGTGCTGTTATCTGTACAGACTCAAGCTGCCCGTGTCCAAGCTATGAGCTGTGCCTCCCTCAAAATAACGGGATGCTGCAGAGATGATGGGCTGCTGCTCTTTCAGGCTTTTTCCCTGTTGTCATGGCAGAGAGCAGAGGGATGAGACCTCGGGGTGATTCCTCAGGGTAGGTTCAGCCTTTAAGCAGAGCCCCCGGGCCGTGACACCACATAGTGGTAGAGGACCGGCAATTCCCAGACAGCTTTTGCAATGCTGTTGTGTCATCCTGAGTTGCAGTTGGATGTGGTTTGGGAAAAGACTCTTAAATTGGGAGAATCCAGTTATTCCAACTGTCACGAAACAACAGCTCTGCCCTGTTCTTTGTGCTGCCAGAAAGTGAAATATCCAGCCCAGGTCTAAAGCCTGCTTTGAAAAGTAAGTAGCAAAGACTTGTTAAAAGCACAGGTCACTGCCTGGAAAGTTGTGATATTTGGATCAGGCTGGAAGCAGGGAGTGTCCCGGCGCTGGAAACCTTTGCTGAGTGTCCAGTCCCCCATTTCCCAAGGATGTGGGTGACTGGGTTGCAGACAAACCAGGCTCTCTTTCCTTTCTGAGTTGGTCAGACCTCTCCAGGGCAGTTCACAGTGTGCCAGGGCTTTAGAAAGCCACTTGCCAGCCAAGAATTCTGCCGCCTTCCTGCTTTACCTCCTTGATCTTCATTAGGAAGGACTGAGCTCCTGCTTTTCCTC